ATTTGGAGGAGGAGGAAGAAGAGGAAGAAGAGGAAGAGGAGTCGGACATTGAGCCCGAAGAGCGGGCCGAGAAGCTGATCAAGGAAGCAGAGGAGGCCCAGGAGGAACCTGTCATCTCGGTGAAGGATAGCGAGGTCGATGAGCTTGCCAAGAAGTTGCAGAAGACATCGATTTGAGGTGTGGGGTAGGAGCATGGTCGGCAAAGCTGATTGTAGATGGCGGGGCATACTTGTTCAGGACAGCGGCTGGTACCCAGGGACAGGTGAATAGACTGTTGTCTTTGAGCGTCTGCAGCGAAATACGTAGCGTTGAACCTAGCTAGACTTCGTAGCAGCAGTATATGCATAGCCTATCGGGCACTCAAGCCAAGTTCCCGTGACCCGTGATCGTATGCGCATCACACTTACACGGCATTGCCCTGCCCTACTTCAGATGATTATTTCAATTGTCGTAAGCATTCTACGCGTTTCTCGGCTCTGTCCGCGATCCTCTGCTCATTTGTGGCCTTGGGAGTCTGAAGATGTCGAGTGGGTTTATTGTCACACCACTCCACCTCACTCCCGCATCACCAGTGCTTGGCTGGTAGTGAGGGGCTCGTGATGAGCCGATGACATCGCCATCCCCTATTAAAACTGCAATCATCGCTCTCCAAAAGAATCTCAAGGCTTATATCACTCATCAAGAAAAAAAAACCAGTCTACAATATCACCAACATCAATAGCATCTCAAACCTACGAGTTGCCAAGTGTTACCACTTAGAAGACTCCACAACAAACGAGACACCACATCATCTTCAGAGGCATCTACCAACCAAAAAAAAAAAAACACGAAAAACCACCAAAATGATCCTTTTTGAAACGACAGAGTCTGTCATTGACATCTTGTGGGATGTCGCCCTCGCGTTCTTCGTCACTCGCCTCGCGGTCATCTATTTCTTCCTCAATTTCCTCTCCGCGCTTGCGTTGAGCTACCTCGTCTACTCGGCACAAACACCTGTCACCCATCTCGTGACATCGCAAAATCCTGAGGTGCTTCTCCCCTTTTTACTAGGGAGCGCGGCGCTTTGGGCGAGGATATTGGTTGTGAGGTATGACGTTCCGAGATCAGGGCCATTCAGGTTGGGGATAGGGGCTGTGGCGCTGGGGTTTATGGTGCTCGTGGAAGGGCTCGTGGCATGGGTTGTATATGAGGAGGGGTGGTGGTCAGGAGGCAAAGGAGGCCAGGAAAGGGTATGGATCGTAGTTGGGGTTTGGCTGGCGTGGTATACCTTGGTGCCGTTTGTGATGATGTTTTTCGAGGGGAGGGAGGAGGGAGAGGCTCCCACGACGGAGGTTAGGGAGAAGAATTGAGGAATGGTTTGAGGCAGAGGAAGTGAGACACTCCTGCTCTGGATAGGACAAGGAAAGGTGGCCGAGGACTGCCAAGCGGGAAGGGAATTCTATATGAGGAATTTATGATTGATGACAAGAGTCTAGCTGAAAGCAATAGGCAACATGGGAAAAGTCTTGAATCCTTCAACACGCAAACTCCCGTTCCAAATGGAAAACATTGACACAGATCGCTCCTTCCATGAAAGCACGCCACCATCAGCAGACAGGCGAGGTCATGCAGTACCTAAGGTAGGTAGGGTTGCAGGGTTGCAGTGTAAGACGGGTGCTAGCGGCCCCCACCCTCAAGGTCATGCAACCCACTACCGAGAGGTGGGATTCAGCACTGAAGCTTTGATCTCCATCAACTTCAGCTTGGGGATTGCCGACGGCCCAGCGACCAACCCAGTTTCCCAGCTCAGGCGCGACGCATTGAAGAAACAACGAAAATCTGCCGAACGCCACGTCGACGATCGAAACAGGATTTCCGCCATCTCAAGTTTTCCCCGGACACCATGGCAAGAAAACAAGGACAGGGAGCGTCAGTTTTGATCAACCCAATGTGCCCGGTTCCCACTTCAATTCCACGGCTGGCGGTCGCCAAAGCTCATGGAAGTCCATTTTCGGAGAAAAGGACGGCATCCTACTCCCCTACTTCCGCTTCGCGCAAGCTAAAATTGCCGAATGCATGTCGGAACTATCAATCGCAGCGTGGCCGAGCTCGTGCTTGCATCAACGTGTTGATTGTTCGAATATCCGGCTGGCCGGCCTGTAGGCTTGACTTCACCCGCGCTCTTCTCCCGCGTCTTCCCTCGCCTGTCCCACCTATAAGCAGTCTTTCATATAGCTGGCAACTATTCTTTCCCCTGGATACTCCCACTTTCTTTTCTACGGTTCTGCCCTGCCAAGATAAGATGACCATGATTTTGGCATCCTCTTCTCCACGTTGTTCCCCTCTGCTTCCCCGGGCCGGTCCTCTGACTGCGCCTCTCAGCCTAAAGATAGGCTGGATGAATATACCATATTGAATCCATTGCTGAATCTCCTCCTTGGTTGGGGCCTGGATCGGCTGTGGAATTATGGAGAAGGCAGTTCGTCCATACATTTGAAGACAGCCCCCCATGCAGACGGGCCTAGGCGGACCTGACAGCTAGCCTCCCATTCCACTGCTCTGCGACAGTGTCTGAGGTTGGTGAGCTGGCCCGCCGCCGAAAGAGCTTCTTCTGTACATTCCTTACACGGGCGTTTTGGCGAGTCGCGATCAGGGACAATCCCTTAAAGCTCTACCACTTTCTTAGGTTGAACGCTGCTCTTCGCGTGTTCTCCCCTTCAGTCCTTACTCCAGCTTCGCCACTGGCTAGCAGACCGGGTTCAAGATGTTGTCCAAGGTTCTTGTCGCTCCTTTGCTGCTGCTGGGTTCAGCCTCAGCATCTCCAGCCTTACAGAAAGATGATGTCGCCGTTACCTACAAGGTCGTCACCGTTACCTCGACTAAGACAGTTTGCCCTAACTCAACCCCGGAGGTGGCTCCGTTGGCCGTTCCCCATTCTCCTCCCCCTCAGAACCAGCCCCAGGGTCAACCTCAAACTCAGCCGCAAAGCGCCGGACATCCCAGGGGTGGCTACAACAACGCCCTCTACTTTACCAATTGGTGTGTCTCCGTTCTATCTCAATCCGTTACAAGGTGCTGACAGCTCTCAGGGGAATCTACGGGGCAGACTTTCAGCCTCAGCAGCTCCCTGCTGAACAAATCACCCGCGTTTTGTACGCCTTCGCGGATATTGCAGCTGATGGCGAAGTGTAAGCTACAAGGAAAAATGGTCTCGACGTTTGGATACATGCTAAATCTCTACAGTAAATCGTCGGATGGGTACTCTGACTTCCAGAAGCATTATCCCAGCGATTCGTGGAATGATCAAGGCAACAACGCATATGGCTGCATCAAGCAGCTGTTCCTCCTGAAGAAGAAGCACCGCCACATGAAAGTCCTGCTTTCTATTGGAGGGTGGACCTATTCACCCAAGTTTCCCCCAATTGCTGCTACGGAGGCCGGACGGCAGAGGTTTGCTTCCTCGGCTGTCAAGCTTGTTCAAGGTATGCTGTTATATGAACGGGCCTCGATGATTGATTTCTGACGTTTTCATCGCAGATTGGGGGTTTGATGGTCTTGATATTGACTGGGAATATCCTGCCAATGCCGCCGAGGCGCAGCACTTTGTTCTCCTGCTCAGGGCGTGTCGCCAAGCCCTTGATGCCTACGCCGCCCAGCACGCACCAGGATACCATTTCCAAATCACTATCGCCGCTCCTGCTGGCTCCCAGCATTATTCCATCATGGACCTGCCTGCTATGGATCCCTACATTGACGGCTGGCACTTGATGGCCTACGACTATGCGGGCTCGTGGGATTCGACTTCAGGCCACCAGTCCAACCTCTACTCCAACACCAACAACCCGCAGAGCACCAAGTTTAGCACCGAGCAAGCCGTACGTGACTACATGGCTCGCGGAGTTCCAGCGAGCAAGATTCTACTTGGTCTACCACTGTACGGTCGCTCGTTCGAGGCTACCACCGGCCTCGGCCAGCCTTACAACGGCATCGGACAGGGGTCCCTCCAGTCGGGCGTCTGGCTGTATCGCGACCTACCACGCCCTGGGGCCCAAGAAGTGTACGATGACGTGGCCAAGGCTAGCTACAGCTATGACTCCAACAGCAGGGAGCTCATTTCGTACGATACTGTGTCCAGCGCTGTTGCCAAGGGCCAGTACTTGGTCGGCCGTGGTCTGGGCGGTGCTGTATTCTGGGAGGCGAGCGGTGACAAGAAAGGCAGCCAAAGCTTGGTGGGCAATCTAGCCCAGCAGATGGGGAGTCTTGACAGGTCTCCGAACCTGTTGTCGTTCCCGGCTAGCCAATACGCCAATATCCGGGCCGGTATGCCCGGAGAGTAGGCGCCATTTGGTCTTTGGAGATGATTATTCGATTCTTCTCGGTCACTCACGGACTGGTCTGGTGGGTGATTGATCCCTTTTCAGCCCTTGGGATGTTTTGACGATTTTGCTGCGTGTTGTTGTGTCTCTGTCTCTTCTTCTTCTTCTTCTTCTTCTTCTTCTTCTACTACGGGGACAGGTCTGGTTGGGGAAAACATTGGCTGTATGTATCCATCCACTCGCTCATGGCTCGGATCTGGGGGGCGTTTGTTTTTGCGTGTTGGGGGCAGGGTTGGGTCGGTTGGGCTATTTGCATTTGGGCATTTGCATTTGATGTTTACGACAAGATTAGATCTCACTCGCTTTACTGCTGTGTAGGTTGTACAAACGATATCCCTAGGGCTTGGCGCGACTTGGCATTAAACAATGATGTGATCCCGTGTTGAACTTGTCTGCTCCGTGCGAGCGCGTGGCCTGCGCGTGAGGGGGCAACGGCTTAGAATGGCGTTCGTGGTCACACCAATGCGCCAAAGCACTCCATTCCCGCTCAAGGAAACTGAAACTGCCCTGCTCAGTCAATCAGTCAGTCAGTCATTCAACCAGTCCCTTACTCCCATCGAGCAGAGATCCTGGGACCATCCAACATGCGACCCTGTGGGTGCCCAAATTCCATAGAAACCTTGGCTGGCAAAGCACAACGTCAAATCCCTCGTGGCGCAACTGGACAGCGCGTTGGACTGTTACGTTCTCTCATGATCTTGTGGGAGTAGCAGGTATCCGGGGGTTGTAAGTTCCAGCCTTACCGAGGGATTTTGAATGCCTTCATTTTTTAGCCACCACTCATTCATAGTGGAGTCGTCGGGGTGGAGACATGGATTGTGTAAGGCTCACGCAACGCACGCCCGACGGGGTTCTTCTCTATTTTAGCCCGAATTCTTTTCAGCTTCAGTTTTCAGTGGAAGCCCTGAGTGATGTTTTGGTCAACTCAGAATAGCCGCGGTGTGCGACAGACTCCAATGACAAGAAAAATAAAGCACAGACTTCAACCACGGAAGTCTACGAAGCAAACCTACCTAGGTACTCACATCCAATTTGATCGATGATAGAGACAGAAACACAATGATAATCGCTTCCCCATCCGAAGTCGGCATGCATCCGGCACCCGCAAGGCCAAGTGGCCGGTTAATGGGGTGTCGCACGGTCTGCCCATCTTCGGAAGCAAACAGCTGATCTCAACCACGATTTCGGTAGACGCCGTGAGAGCATCCAAAAGGAGTTGTGCGAACCAACCTGCAGGTGCCACCCTCCCTGAATCATCCGGTCTCTCTTTAGAAATCCCCTTATGTGGGTGATGGCCATCCATGCAGGCAAGGCGAGTGCTCTCGAGGGGTTGACAGGCGTCGAAGTTTCAAGGAGGTCGTCACGGCGATCGGGAGCCGAGGATGGTGCAGCACGGGGGACCAGGGATGGGCTGTCGAGATGGGACTAGCGCGGGCATAATTCTCCGAAGGCCATGGGGGTTGAGAATTTGATGTTGCGAGATGGCATTTCCGTCAGAGAGGCTTTCTGGAATCTTCAAAGGTGTCGATCATGAGGGTTCTTGAGGGGAATCATTCACTGGCATAAACTGAGTACGCGCAATCGAGCGTCTCCGAAGATTTATTGAAGCAGCAGGCTACGGCGTGACGCAAAACTCGGCGGATGTTTTGTTTCAATCAACTGCCAAAACCAATTGGGAGCATTCTGGCTTCTGGGGTCGCCCCCACCAAGGGATGTCGTGCTGTTAATAATTTGGTGGGAGCGGTGCAGCAGTGCTAACAGGGCAGCATTCGCGTGGTGGCAGGCGAGTTTCAAGGCGACAGGGGTGCGCATCAGAGCCTCAGCTCGGGCTGCTTGGCAACAGGGGAAAATGTGGGGCGCCACGCCCAAGCATTGAGCGGGAGAACGGACTGCGCGCCGCATCTTGATGCGACTGCAAGCTGCACCTCCGCGCCCATCACAGGCAGGTCCTGTTTGGAAGCCTATTCTGGCCTCTCAATGGCTCGTCGGGCAGAGTTTGTTTCCTTCTGTCAGTATCCCAGCTCCGGATCAGTGTCTTGAGACGGCGCCCAGCTTCTCGACACGGTACCCCGTTCGCCCCCTGCCTCGTGCGCGAGTCCCAGGTACCCTCGCCCTGTCAGGACGGCAGTCTATCGATGATCCCAAGCTTCCAAGCCAAGATGACGGCGGGCATCATACTGGGCGTGTCGCGGATCTCGTGCCACACTATTCTGCCGCCATATATGCGATGTTGCCCTCGCCCGGGTCTCCTCCGCTTCCCTCCCTTCCCTTTCCTGTCATCTCTCTCTCTCTCTCACTCTCTCTTTTCTTCGTGCGGGTCTCACTCTCTTCCTAATCCTCTTTTTTTTTTCGCTTCGTCGTTTTTTTCGTGACTGCAGGTCAGTGTAATTATTCTCGCCATTCTTTTCATCACCAACCTTAGTTGAGCGTCGAACGCCATTCCGAACACGCCAGCTTGGCCTGGACGTACACACTCTCACTCGATTCCGAATCCCGACTCCGAACTCGACGACACGATGCACTTTTCAACCCGCGCTTTGGTGGCGGCCGTTTTGGCGGCGACGGCACAGGAGGCTGCTGCGCAGCAAGCAGGACTTCGACCGCTCCCCGGCTCCTTTGAGGCATTCAGTGGAACTTCATTAAGACCTCTCCCGGGACTTGCCAGTGCTTCCCCGGCAGCAGCGGCCGCCGTGACACCTCCCGTGGCTATCGCCGCGCCGTCTGCCATCGCAGCAGCTCCGTCCGTGGCAGTAGGAGCGCCGCCTGCTGCTCTCCAACCACAGCCTGCGGCCGGAGGGGCATTCTCCATCCAGACAGCTCCGGCAGGTGCTTTGAGGCCTCTTCCAGGTCTCCAGACGGGTGCGGCAGCGGGAAGCTTGCGGCCTCTTCCAGGTCTCGCAACCGTGGCGGTATGTGTGCTTTCTCGATGGTGGATCTGTGAAGCACGGTGCTAACTTTTAGGCAGCCCCCGGCAGCCATCGCCACTCCTCCTCCGGCAGCCGTTGTTCCGTCCGCTCCGGCAGCTGTTGCGCCTCCAGCGGCCGTTGCACCCCCACCGGTGGCTATTGCGTCGCCGCCCGCCGCCGTGCAGACGGGAGCCGGCGTTCAGTTCTTCACCCCTATCGGGAGTGACCTCCTGGCCGCTCCGTCGGCTGTGGCTTCCGCCGCACCCCCCGCCGCCGTGGCGCCCAGCGTCGGGGTTGGTGCGGGCGTGGGCTTTTTCACGCCGATCGCCGCTGATCCCACCCCGGTTGATGGTATTGCTGTCGCGTCGAGCGCGGCTGTTGCGTCCGTTGTTCCCGGTGTTGCTTCGGCCACCGGTGTCGGAGGTATTCCCGCGGCTGCGACGCCCGTATTCCCTCTGAACAACTCCACTAACGCTCAAGGAGGTGCTGGTGTTAGCGTCGTGCCTGTTGGCACCGGCGGCATCGTTGCCGCTCCCTCGGGCACGTTGAACGCGCTTCCCGGAAGCTTTGTTGCCTCGGAGCCCACCTCCTTGGCTGCGCTTCCTGGTTCCATCGACGCTGCCGCGCCGACCGGCTTGAACGCCCTCCCCGGTGCTTCGGTTGACTCGAGCGCCCTGGGGGCTTTCCCTAGCGGCGCCGCCGACTCGCTCATCCCAGGCGGCTCAGTCGATTCCACCGCCGATGTTAACGGCCTGCAGCCCCTGCCGAGCGCGTCCGCCGACGGCACCATCCCCGGGGGTGCTGCTGACACCAACTCACTGCAGCCTCTTCCTGGCTCTTTCGATGCGGCCTCGCCAACCAACTCGCTCCAAGCCCTTCCTGGCTCTATCGACGGTGCTTCCGCCACTGGCTCTCTCCAGGCTCTTCCCGGCGCGCCTACCAATGGCGCGCTTGCGCCTCCCGGTGGTGTTGCCGATATCTCTGGATCTGGTGCTCTGGCTCCCCTCCCGACCGGGGCCTCGACGTTCTCGACCGTCGTCACCACCATCAACGGCGTTGTTCAGACAACCGCTGTGGCAGTAAACCTCCCTGGTGCTACCGGCAGCGTCAACTCTGCTGGTACCAGCCCGGTCGACGGAGAGTCGGGAGCTGGGAGCGTAAGAGCCACCCTCGTGGCCGCTGTGGCTGGCGCGATGGGCGCCATTATGATCATCCTGTGAGGGAGATGACGTATATGGGGGAGTGTACGACGCTAATTGAGGTATTATTTTCGACATGAGCCATCAGGGATGACTGTTTGGGAGGCGAAGTGAGAAAGAGTCTCTTTGCGTATTTGATATCAGGCGTTGTTTGGTTACCTATGTTTGAAGAAAAGGGAGAGAGTTTTGTTGTATATACCATTCAGTAGACAACACAAGATAAAGATGTTACTTGAAACTGCGCAGTACTAGGAGCAACTACCCGCACAACAAGCAGGCAAGGCACTTCGCCATCCGAGCCAAATGGGAGCTTTGCCCATGTTTCCGGGATTCTGGGTCCGGTTCTAGACTTGTCTGGGTATTGAACTTCATCTGAAGACTAGCAGGATGTTATGATGCCCTCAGGGCTTCTCGGATGCCGCCGAAGAAGACGTGCCAAGAAAAGGCGAAGACACCTCTAGATGCCCTTCTATGCCGAAGCTAAGAAGAGATTTCCCGTCAACCTAAAACGCAGTAGGGTTTCAAAGACGTCATCGCCCATATCAACTCGCGGCTCCTACACAAAGGCCCCGGGTGGTGGGGCAAAGGACGGGAGAAGAGTGAAGAAACGATTAGCTTAAGCGAATCTCGTTTTCAGCGAATACGATGTTTACGGCGGCCAGCTTGATATTTTCTCATAAACTCCCATGTACCTATCGTCGAGAAACAAGGCTTCAGACTTCAGGGCCAAAACAAAAAAGGGGGGGGACTTCAAGGTTCACTGAAGGTGAAGAGTGGATCTAATTTGTACTCCCTTGGTAAGGTTCGGGCTTACAGCCTCCAAGATGCCGCTTTTCTCAACTTGAAGGAGAAACATGACGCGCTTCCGGTTACGCCACGAGAGATGCGATGTTCAGTCGTGCAGTTTTTCAAACATGGGCGATATCGAACGGTCCGCTTGGAGAGGTTGTGGGGTTGCGGGGTAAACCCTGAAGGGTGAGGGGTCGGAGGGGTCAATGTTGATTTTGCTTCACGGAAGCGAGAAGTATGATTCAGGTACCAGAGTCAATTCAAAGAAAGAAGCGGTTACTTTTAAGCATTTGCCCTTCATTGTTGAACGGGCAGTGGCGTTGTGGAGACTCAAAACGTTCATACGCATCCTCACTCAACGGGCCCCACCTCACACGATTTCAGTACCTACCTAGTCTAAGGGGAGCAGGTGCCCAACTAGCACTACGTAACGACAACAACTAGGACGCAACTAGTCACCATGGGCAAAAAGGAAAAGGGCAAGTCTGAGACCAAAAAGGCCAAGTTGGCCGAGAAGAAGCAGAAGCAGGAGAAGAAGGCGGAGAAGAAGGCCAAAGTCAAGGCCAAAGCCACCGATGGCAGCGACGCCGAGGATGTTGATCTCGATGCCGTCCTAGAAGAGTACCGCAGGCAGCAGGAACAGTTTCTCAAGATCACCGAGACCGCAGCTGATGGCCCGCCGAGGGCACGCGCGGCGGCTTGTTTCTTGGCCAGCCCATCGAACAGCAACCAGCTGCTGCTCTTCGGAGGAGAGTACTTCAATGGTGCTCTCGCGACTTTTTTCAACGACTTGATGATCTACTACATCGACCGCGATGAATGGCGTTGCGTCACCAGCCCCAATGCTCCCCTTCCTC